GGTGGGGTGGAACATGCAACCCAGGTACCTCCCCTTGACCAGGAATTGAACCCAAGACCCTCCGGAGCGCAGGCTGACCCTTTAACCACTGAGCCACACGGACCAGGGCCCTATAAGCATTCTTGATGTGAAGATGATATCTGGAATTGGGGCTGAGTTCTTTAGTTAAACTGAAATTTACTAGGGAGTAGTTTTAACAGGTTTAGACTAATAAGTAATTGTTTAAATGAGGAACACATGTAGTTAAAAAGTAACTTGCCATGAACAGGCATCAGAAGAAAGGCCACTGGTAAACTCAGAAATGTCAGGGAGCCCCGTGCCCCCAAATGCTTGATGGATATAATGAAAACTGCTTTTTTAACCCAGCTTAAGTGAGGTTTTGGGAAACTGATTTCTAGTGGGCTTGGTTATTTAGCATTAAAGTAGCACTTCATAGTTGTAGGTTACTTAGTACCTAGTATGGAACACTACCTTACAGCCGACTGTCCAGGTCTCAGTGCTGCTGTCCATCAAGGGAAGTGCTTTCCCTAATGAACGGGGTATGTGGCCTGCGATGGAAGAGTTGGATTCATGGCCTCAGATTCTCCATGAACTCTACCTGTGGGGGGCTTCTCCCCCTTTCTGTTCTTTATTTTCCCATCTCTACTTTTAGATGACAGTACCTCTGTATAACCCGCTTTCAAAGTGATAACTCTGGGGATTGTTGGAGGACATTTGGAGGGTCTCAGAAAAGTTCTAGAAACCCAAATACTTTCCGCTTCAGTTCCTCATCTGCCCTTTCTGGGAGCACACATAGGTGACTCCTAAGGATCCTGTCTGTCCTCTGTGAGTTAGGCCTTGTTGGAATTGAGCTTCTTAGGCCTAACTTTTGTAATGTTTGTTTTTAATATCTTTATTGAGATATAATTCACATACCATAAAATTTACCTACTTAAAATGTAAGATGAAATGGTTTTAGTATATTCAGAGTTGTGTAACCACCACCACAATCTAAGTTTAGAATATTTAAGTCAGTTCACACCCATCCTGCATCCTTCAGCAACTGATCTACTTTCTGTGTCTAATAGATTTGTCTATTCTGGACATTTTATATAAATGGAATCAGGCAATATTTGCCCTTTTGTGTATGGCTTCTTTCATTTAGCATAATGTTTTCAAGGGTCATCCATGTTGTAGCACGTGTCAGTACTTACTCTGTTTTCTGGCTGGATAATCTACTGTATGATTGTACTACATTTTGCTTGTCCTATTATCAGTTGATGGATGTTTGGGTTGTTTCTGCTTTTTGGATATTATGAGTAATGCGGCTATGAACATTCCTGTACAAGTGTCTGTGTAGACACGTATTTCCTTTTTTATTGGGTATGGAGCTGGGAGTAGAATTGCTGGGACATGTGGTAACTCTGTATTTAGCATTTTGAGAAACTTGAGGCTTTCACTTTCTCCGCAGCCTTGCTAACACTTGTTATTGTCTGTCTTTTTAATTGTAGCCATCCTAGTAGGTGTGGAGTGGTATCTGAGATGGTTTTCATGTTCATTTCCCTAATAATTAATGATGTTGAGCATCTTTTCATGTGCATATTGGCCATTTGTATATCTCTGGAGAAATGTCTTTTGAAATCCTGTGCCTGTTTTCTGCTTTTTCTTTCATTGTGAGAGTTCTTTATAATTTTTTTGATACAAGTCCCTATGATTTGAAGATACTTTTTCACATTCTACCGATTGTCTTCTCACCTGATGGTATTGTTTGCGGCACAGAAGTTTTAAATTTGGATGTAGTCCAATTTACCTGTTTTTGTAGTATTTTTTGTTGTAGTAGTGGTTGTTAATCCTCCCCTGAGGATATTTTTCCATTGCTTTTCAGAGAGGGTGAAAGGGAGGGAGGGAGGTAGAGAGAGAGAGAGAAACATCAGTGTGAGAGAAACACATCAACTGGTTGCTTCCTGCATGTGCCCGACCAGGGGCTAGGAGCGAACTGCAACCCAGGTAGTGCCCTTGACCAGGAATCAAACCCTCGACCCTTTGGTGTGTGGGTCAGTGCTTTAACTGCCAAGCCACGCTGGCCAGGGCTGTTTTTGTTGTATTTATGGCTTGATTTAATTGTTTTCAAGTCCTATCCTGATGCATTGAGATCTTATTTCTAGATATAAAAAAAGGGAGGTTTTTGTTTTTATGTGGGTATAGTTCAGTTACAGCTTTCTTAGGATGTGCTTATATGTATTTGGCCAAAGTTTCTGCCATAAAGGATTTTTCCTGTTAAAAAAGGTGTTTTGAAGTTTTATGAGGAAAATAACTTTGTGCAAGCCTTTCCTTGCTGCTCTGTTGCCTCAACCAGTGGCTATCAACTGGGATGATTTTGCTCCCCGGGAGGACATTTGGCAGTGTCTGTAGACATCTTTGATTGTCACAGTTAGACAGGAGGTGCTACAGGCATCTAGGGGGTAAAGTACAGGGGTGCTGTTAAACAGTGCAAAGGATGACAGCTTCCAGGAGCAAAGAATTATCTGGCCCAAAATCTCAATAGTTCGGAAACTCTGGTCTAACTAGGAAGATCCCAAAATTGGGGATATTGAAGGACTTTTCAGTTCATGTCTTGATAATCAAGTAAAGGTTGCTAATGGAATAAAAGGTGGATCGATCGCCCTGGCCGGTGTGGCTCAGTTGGTTGGGCATCCTCCCGTGTACTGACAGGTTGCTGGTTCGATTCCTGGTCAGGGCACATGCCCTGGTTTTGGGTTCGATCCCCAGCAGGAGGTGTGCAGGAGGCAGCCGATCTATATTTCTCTCTTACATCGATGTTTCTCTTTCTCCCTCTCCCTTCCTCTTGCTCTAAAAATCAATAAACTATTCTTTAAAAAATAAATAAATAAATAAATAAATGGTGGATCTATGCAGGAGGAATCCTGTGGACAGGTGGTGACAGAACTTGCAAATTAAGTCAAGGAACATTTTGCCCAGTTTTCGGTGCTGCCAGTTTATATGTAAATTATATTTATGATAATAGAAACGATTTGAAAGAGAAATACCAGTGGAGCAAAAGTAGAGGTAATCTCTATACCCATGGGCCACACTGAGACACACACATACACATCCTGGCAAGTAAATCAACTGGGCTGATTGAGATAGATGCCGAAATGGTGGTCTCCTCGGAGAATACAACAATGAATTTGTAAGATAAATTTAATAACCACGATACTCTAGTGATTGGCAATCATCGGGCTGCTCATATAATTTATGGCACTAGCTTCATCTCCCAGCAAGACTTTTTTTTTTTTTTTAATATATCTTTATTGATTTCAGAGAGAAGGGAGAGGGAGAGAGAGAGATAGAAACATCAATGATGAGAGAGTCATGGATCGGCTGCCTCCTGCACGCCCCCTGTTGGGGATCGAGCCCACAACCCAGGCATGTGCCCTGACAGGGAATCGAACCTAGATCTCCTGGATCCTAGATCAATGCCCAACTTCTCAGCCATGCCGGCTGGGCAAGACTTTTCTTAAGCAGTATGGCCTGCTTGAGAGTTTAAACTCTGGATTGGATTGCCTAGGCTTAAATCTCAGCTCCATCATTTGCTTGTGTTACCTTAGACAATTTACTTAACTCTTTTATCGATCAGTTTTATCATATATAAAATGAGGCTACAGTAGTATCTGTTGTGGGCATGAAAGGAAGTAATACATTTAGAGCACTTAAAACAGTACCTAACATGTTCTGAAATGTCGGCTGTTAATATTATTGTATCTCTTCTCTGTGCACCTCTTTCAGCTCATTGCTATGGACAGTGCTATCACCCTGTGGCAGTTCCTTCTCCAGCTCCTCCAGGAGCCTCAGAACAAGCACATGATCTGCTGGACCTCTGACAATGGGGAGTTCAAGCTTTTGCAGGCAGAAGAGGTGGCTCGGCTCTGGGGAATTCGAAAGAACAAGCCCAATATGAATTATGACAAACTTAGCCGAGCCCTCAGATACTATTATGTGAAGGTAAATACATGTCCACCTCAGAACAGGAAGTGTTCCTTCTCCTATGTTGAGGTTATAGGCACTAAAACCCTATTGTTTATTTTTTAATTGAGGTGTAATTGAAATATAACATTATATTAGTTTCAAGTATACAACATAATGATTCGATATTTGTGTACATTGCAAAATGATCACTGTCCTGGTTTATTTTAACCCAGTTTATTTCAGAGCTTCTGCAACTTGGAATTAGGACAGAGAATGGAACTGTCTTAGCTGCCGTCCTGCAGACTTGTTCGGTACCCCACCCCCACTTGCATGTTTTATTCCAAACAACTGTCTTTAAAGAAAAAGGAAGGACAGGGTTGGAATAAGGAAAAGGAAATTTGAGATTTTGGAAGATAAATATTCTTGTGTATATCATGATTTACTTTAAAAGTTGTCATGTATACTTGTTTTTTAGCTTTACCTAATTTTTACCTTATAGTTTAATCCAGAGAGCACAAAGAAATACTTTAACGCATACCTGTTTATACGTAGAATTGATTTCTTAGTTAAAATTTTTAAATTGCTTATTATTTTGGATACACTTTGGGCACTGAGGGAAAATAAATGGCTCAGATGGGTAGAACTGGAATGAGAAGCTGAGACCTTGATCTCTCTCACCTTGAAGTGGTTGCTCCCACCAGCTTTGCTGTGTGGAGACGAGGGAAGCAACAGCTGGAATTTTTGAAGGAAGTAGGGACCTTAGTAGAAGTCATGTGGATTCCTTTTTCCTTACTCAGCATGCGTATGGCATGTACCTTTGGAATGATTTTAGACTGTATAGATCAGCAATTTTTGACTTAATACAGATATTTGGTTGAGAGTGTTAAGCAATTAAAATCTTTCAGCTTTTACATAACACGTTAGTTCAGTTGTTAATAAGACATTTAAATATTCTTAACTTACGCTCCACAACAGTAGGCACTGTGTTGAGTTCCGCTAGGTAATTTAGATGACTGTAGGTGATTTTGAAGCTTGAAGGAAACTGCTTGTCCAATGGAGAACATCATTAGGCCAGCTTCTCATGAGCTAGGTAAGGTAAGATTATAAGAAAGCGTAAGAGTGCTTGTTTTGTTTATCTACAGAATATCATAAAAAAAGTGAACGGTCAGAAGTTTGTGTACAAGTTCGTCTCTTACCCGGAGATCCTGAGCATGGATCCGATGAAGGTGGGCAGGACCGAAGGCGACTGTGAATCAGCCTCGCGCTTCTGCGAAGCGGCCCGCAGCTCCGGGGCGGTGGCGGACACGGGCAGGGACAGGGCGCCTCCGCCCGGCGCCAGGGCCTCGAGCCGCAATGACTACATCCACTCGGGCCTGTACTCCTCCTTCACGCTCAACTCTTTGAACTCCTCCAAGAGGAAGCTTCTCAGATCCATCAAGATTGAGAATCCAGCTGAGAAACTGGCAGAGAAGAGGGCTCAGGAGCCAACACCATCTGTCATTAAGTTTGTAACGACACCTTCCAAAAGGCCACCGGTTGAACCCGGTGCTGCCGCCGTTTCCCCTGGCTCAGGTATTTCTCCGTCTTCGGAAGAAACTATCCAAGCCTTGGAGACTTTGGCTTCCCCCAAACTGCCTTCCTTGGAAGCCCCAGCCTCTGCCTCCAGTGTCGCCGCTGCGTTTACCGCCCCACCTGTCTCGGCCGTGTCCCCTTCGTTTCAGGAGCCTCCTCGAACGCCTTCGCCACCGCTGAGTTCCAACCCCGACATCGACACAGACATCGAGTCTGTGGTTTCGCAGCCCATGGACCTGCCAGAGAACCTGTCGCTGGAGCCCAAAGACCAGGACTCAGCTCTGCCGGAGAAGGACAGAGCAAGTAGCTCATCAAGGTCCAGGAAACCCAAGGGGCTGGAGCTGGCGCCCATCCTCGTGATCACAGGCAGCGACCCGAGCCCGCTGGGGATACTGAGCCCCTCGCTCCCTACAGCGTCCCTCACGCCAGCCCTTTTCTCACAGGTAGCTCGCTCTTTCTTTTAAGTGCCACCATTGTGTGCGTTCGCTCACCTTTCCAAAGAAATCCTCAAGTTTTAGAACCTCAGGCTTTCATGCAGCTACTTAGGTTTGCCTTAGAAAGGTTTACATATGAGCCGTGAAGGTACCCAGCCCCTCACTTCAGCTAGGATCGCCGCAGCAGGTTCGGAGCGTTGTGTTAAAAAAATCCATTGTTCTACAAGTAAATAAATATTTTGGTTTCCCACCTCTTTCTATAGAAAATAAGTATTCTCTCTATATATGTTTTTTATCTTATAAATATTAAAAAAACACACACACACACACAAACAGTGATAATCTCAAGTTAGAAAACAACTGATTCTGAGAACCTTAAGAAAAAGCAGTGGTTGATGCTGAGTGGCATTCCTGCAGTTACCATAGATACTTCTTAACTTGCTGAAGTGTAACATTTACGTAGATGGATTACTCACAGACCTCATTATCAAGGAGAAGCTATGTTTGGGACGCAGTCACCCGTTTGTTTTCCCTACCTGGATTCAGACTGGCTTCTCCGAGAAAGATCCTACAAAGGACAGGTTAGGAAAGAGTTTGACCTTTATCTTTCTTAAGTTGCAAAAATAATTTCTGAGTTTTTCCTCATGATAAAATTTCAGACTTGGAGACATTTAGAGTGGAGTAGGACCATATTTGGGGCCAGGGCAATTTTTGTATTATTACAAGGGTGAAACGTAACCCCGATGCGTCATTTAGTGAATGTTTCTGCTTTGTGTGTCGCAGACGCCCATCTTGCTGACTCCGAGCCCCCTGCTCTCCAGTATCCACTTCTGGAGCACCCTCAGCCCTGTTGCTCCCCTCAGTCCAGCCAGACTGCAAGGTGCTAACACACTTTTCCAGGTAAGTGACGTAAAGCCTGTCTCTTGTAAGGGGCACATGGGAAATGAAGACAGAGGCAAAAAGACAGCATCCCACCCTTCAGTTTAAGCATTATGAAACTTCTATTTAATAAATATTCTCTACTTTTGTTTTTGAATTTCTAAGTGTTAATTTTCTAGCCAGCAAACAGCTCAGATAAATATTCACAGCAAAGTTTCCTTTTCATTGTTGACCATTTACATACGTTGGAGTTGTACCAAGAATTGTTCAATACTGTAGTAGATTTTTGACCCCACTCAGTTTTTTGTCATTTGAAACTGTAGAAATCCTTTTTTATGAGGAAAAAACATATATACACATATATATTCATACGAACACATATATACGTATGTGTGTGGAAGAGATTTCTACACATAGGTTTCCCCTTTTCACTGAGGATTAAAAAAAAAAAAAAAAATAGAGAAAACTCCTGACAATAGTATGTCAAATACTCCCATTTACCCCTCAGAATGTATATTTATCAACATTTTAAACGTCTATTTTTAACTGACTGTTGTATTATCTCTTAACCAAGATCTTAGGAAAAGCCTTACAGCTTTTAACTGTTTTTTTGCCCCAAACATCTAGACTTTATAACCTATAGGCTTTCTTATGGTTGATTCATTTACTATTTAAGGGTGACTACTTGGAAGATTTTCTTACATTTTCTTTTGTAATTTAACTTTTCATTTGTTCTTTTGGAAAAGAAATGTTAAAGAAAAAGAGGAAAGTAAATTAAAAATCTTTCTATCTCTGCATTTTTTGACAAGTTCTAAATTATTGAATAGAAAGCATTGAGAATTTTCCTTGTTTCATTTTTCTTTGCCTCTCGCAAACCGATAATTGAATTATAGAGTGAGCTGAGACCTTAAGTGAAGTTGTACTGCTCAGGTAGCTGCAGCCTAGAATCTCCCTCTAGCACTGGTCTCAGACTATATGATGGGGAACCCTTGTCTGCAATGAGCACCCTATAACTGTTTGCACTAGTTATAAACAGTTAACAGGTGGCTATCTCTTTCTGGACCTCTTTCTGACAGCCTGTGATTTGCTTTGTAATGAAATATACTCTGTGATGCATATTGTTATTTACTGACTTTTCTAAAACCTTCGTCTGGAGTCGAGTTTGTAATCCTGTGCACCTCAGGATACGAGGGAAGGTTTAGGCTTGCGCTTTGCATTCCATCCAGGTAGGCTGGAGAGTGTTAATATTTAACATTCTTCTCTTTAAAGTTTTTGTTATGCGATCATGTTCTTCCACGGTAAACAGTTACTGCCTTTGTCCTCTGAGCGACTGCTGGCGGCTGTGGTGGTCTGCCTCAGGAAACAGAAGGGACAGTAAGTGGATGCTAATGTGTTTTATTTTCTTTCTCAGTTTCCTTCCGTTCTGAACAGCCATGGGCCGTTCACTCTGCCTGGCCTGGACGGACCTTCCACCCCTGGCCCGTTTTCCCCAGACCTACAGAAGACATAACCTGTGCACTTGCAGAGTGAGGGAGCCAAGGGATAAAGGGACAGAGACCCTCAGCATGGTCGCGTCAGTGAGCGATGGATAGTTCCACAGTGCTGATAACACACCGCTGTGGGGTTTGCCATTCCCCGGAGATGCCTTCTTAGGACTCCCTTCCAGGAAGACTCAAATTGGACTGTGTTGAAAAATGCCTTCATTGGAGTCTGAACTCCGCCTCCCTCTCTTTCTTTTCTTTTCTTTTTCTAAAAACTATTTTGAGCTTTGTGTTAAAGAAATTTTTGGTGGGGTTTAGCAGCTAGCTATGTTTTGCAAGAGCAATTAAGAACAAAGTTATTCCTTCTGCCTTATTGGGACCCTTTGGCCAGAAAAATATTATGCTTTGAGTATATTATTTAGAGAAATCTCAGTTCAGTGGAATTGGCCATATCTCTAAGACTCAGTGTGCTTTGTTGAATAACTAAAAGTGAGCTGTGCATAAGCAGTAGAGGAAAAAATCATTTCTATTCACAGGAAGATTGGGGCAGTACTATTGGGGTGACTCTATTTGCTGTGTACGCTAGCATGTGTAAAGCAACTCCGCAAGAGGCTCCTTATTTACATTTATTTAGAATGGGTCTCTCAGCCCATGTGGGATCGTGTCTGAACCTGTCTACCGAGCATGGAGCTAGTCTGTTTCAATATAGGGAGATTTTTAAACCTGGGGTTTAAACAGTGTTTGGAGAGAACAGCCAGCGAGAATCTGAGACTGCATACCTGGCCCGGAGATGTTGGCTGCCCTCTGGGTGTTACGATTACGCACCCATGGGGTACAGCATGGTAAATGATGGCTTTCAGGAGAATAAGCCCAGGTTTTGAGATTGGGAGGCATCTCTGAGTAACAGATCCAATCGAGTAACTTGAAACAGCGTGGGGCTTTTCCTGGTTAGAGGCGGCTACCCAGTGTGAAGGACCCTTTCTCTTTCCTGTGCATTTTACCTCATTTTCTACTGTATATTTATCTTTTAAATTTTAGGTTGGGAGAGGTTGTGGTAGTTGTGAAGATGTAATTAGGAAGGTGAAACCAGAAGCGAAGCCTCCAAAGCTGTAGTGAGGTAAAGTTGTGCTTATCTTGTTGCATTTTTCTTTTTAAATTAGGGAGGAGCAGAATTCATTTGGAAATGATCAGGTAGAGGAATTAGATTGTTCATACTAGTGGTGAAACATTTAGGCCTTTGTCTTTACAGTACCAAATTTGTAAAGTATTACTTTATGGTAATCAATGCCAGGTGGGGACAGCTTTGCTCATCCCCCCAAACTGAATTGATACCAGCATCTCGGTGGAATCTTTTGAAATTCTTGGCTTTAAAGTCCAGGATTAGATAGTACATGTGGCCACCCCTACCACCACTCTGTCCATTAAACTAGTCTTTAACCCTAGAAGTAGTTCCTGTAATTCAGTCACATGAACTAAATGGAATGAGGGAATGAAGAATTGTGGGCTCAAAATCACACTGATACAATCCAGCATCTTCCAGGTGTGTAATGATTTAACTGGGTTGACATCCAGTGTGGAGCAGCTCGAGCGTAAGGCAGCTGAGCTAATTCAGTAGTGGTGGAGGGACAATCTTCAGAGGGGGCTGCCGTTTAATTTGTGGCATTGGGGACCTGTGACTGCTTCATCCATGGCTCTCAGCTGGAAGGTCTGTTCCAGAGACGTGCAATAGTAGTGTTGAGAGGCAGTAGTGTTCAGCAGTGATGCGGAACAGACTTACTGGACTTTTTCCCATATTGAATCTTTTAGTTCATGTGTCTGTTTGAAATTAGACCTCTCAGCAGCACTTTGGAATAGTTTCATTAGGTCAATGAACATTTTGTACATTGAATAAGTAAATATTGATGGATTGACTTAATTAGATATTTAAAATTTTGAAAGCACAAAGACTATTTTTTGGAATTAAAGGAGAAAAGCCATTGGTTTGTTTTCCCAGATGATCTCTTTAATAATTAACTGTCTCAGCACAGGAGTGCCTGGGAAGCAAGGGCACCATTAAAACTGAGTCAAAGCAACTTCCTAGGAATAAGTTTTAGTGAATCCTCCCTTTGTAAACATCTCCTGGAAGCCTCTGAGAGGTGTGGGCCTTTAGGAAGCTCATGATGATCTGCTTTCTCTTTGAGATCGATGAATCTGGGGAAGGTGTGTGTGTGTGTGTGTGTGTGTGTGTTTGTGTGTCCTTTTTAAATGAAAGTTTACAACCTTAGCTCAAGTGTATGAGGCAGACTGTTCTATTTGTAAACTACCTCCTTCCTGGAAAAGTCTCAGCTTCATATTTTTTTGAACATCCACAGAGTTCTTCGCATCCAAAGGTGACTTACCACTTAAGACCAGAGCACTGGAGAGACTTACGTTTGGTAGCTGCAGCTGGTTTCCATCACTAGTCACTTTGCCAGGATGAATGTTGGTGGGCAAAAGTAGCCTAAGTTAAGATAGGGGGAGCAAGTTGAATGAGTTTTTGAGACATCTGCTGTGATTATCTTAGCTTTCCATCTGCTCTGGTCCATATCTACTCAGTTGTATGCTGGAAAATGTTTAACTACCAGGCTCTCTGAAGGGGAAAAGAAGCCCTTACATTGTAGCATTTGCTGATTTCCATGATGAGAATTAGTCCCCATAATTCTGATTTTAAGCTACCTCCTTGGAATTGAAAAGGGATGCGCACAGCCACACCCTCAGCCAGCAGCCCACTGCATTTAGTCCACCCTGGGGTGATGGATTTTCACATAATTCCTAAAACATTTTTTGTTCATATGCTGATTTTTAAAAAAACAAAATTAAAACCACATGCCTGACTTCAGTAATTTTTTTTATGGTTTGTCACAGTGCTTTTGTGATGTTAGATTCCTCACGGCATATTTTGTGTGTTCAAACAAAGGTGGCAACTTCCACTGATTTTAAAAAATTTTTGCATAATGAAGAATCCAGAAACCCTCAAAAGGTCAACCTTAAACTTCTTAGAGTTAAAATAAAGGTTTAATTTTTCTACTTTTTATGATTAAAAAATAAGTGTAATTCTTTTTCTTCAAATTTTGATGGGGGAAGTAAGCCCATGATTTTTTTATTTTTTTTTAACTGGAAGAATTTCTTAAAGATTTACATACTATTTTAGAGATCAAAAAGGCAGGACTGACTGTTGAATCTATTTACCTGGCACAATTTCTAGTTTTCTCCATATTATGTGTCACTTAGGCTTAGAGGAAAATAAATCAGAGGCTTGGAATTCTGGAGCTATAACTGCAGGCTGTTGATAGTATTACTTTAGTTCCATTCACACCTGGCATTGTATGATGTCCAGTCTAATGACATTGTTTCTTCCTGACCTCAGAATTTGTGTTTTGATTCTCAAGTTCTAAAAGGCAGTTTTGTATGTTTCTAGTGAATTGAAGCACACTAGAGACATTCATTGGCATTTCAGAAAAGCAGTCTCCAATCTTTTTGAGCACACACCTTGATCAGTAAAAGTTTTTAAACACAAATTCCCTAGTGCAAATTCACACGTGTATTTATGTCAAGTTATATACCACTATACTAAAGTTACATGTACATTATAAGACATACACAAAAATTGAAATAGGATGGCGTAAGTAGTAAATCTTGAGGCCCTGGCCAGTGGCTCAGGTGGTTGGAACTTTGTCCCATCCACCAAAAGATAGCAGGTTCAATTTCCAGTCAGGGGACATAGCCAGGTTGCAGGTTGGGGCGCAAATGGGAGACAACGGATGGTTCTCTCTCACTTCGGTGTTTTTCTTCCTCTCTCTCCCTTCCTCTCTCCAAAGTAAAAAAGAAAGTAAATCTTGAGAAGCTCTAATATTCCTTCCTGCACCAGTAGCTTGTCTCACAACACATCACTGACTCAGGATATTGCTTCTCAGCCTAATCTTGAAAAAAACTGTAGATGCTTTTGTTGTGATGTATGGAGAAATCCTTACATATTTAATCTGATTTTCATGTAAAATCTCTAGTAGGGACTTGGAATTTTTCAGGAGAGCTTGTCAGCAACTTTCTGAAATTTCACATTAATTTTTCATAAGTTACCAAGTTACCCATTACCGAATGTTTCCCAGGGCTTCCTGCATATTATTTTGGACAGCCTGTGATCTCTGTTTTCTCTTCATGTTAGGTATGACTGTCTAATGTACTTTTATTTTACTACCCTGCTTACAGACTTCTTTGGTCTTATTAGTGTTAAATTTTACCAACAAATTCAGAATTATTTTAAGTTGCTTTATGTTAAAATACATAATAACCTCCATTTCACTGCTGCATTAGTAAGGGTTTTTTTTCTTTTTATTTGTAACATTTCAGCATCTGAAGAAATGCTTTTCTTGATGGGTCCGTTCTGTGTACCACTGCATTTATTTTATTCATCCATGCCAGACCTCTAGTCTTGTGCTGAGCTGCCATTCTTAGGTGTGTCAACAGGTGTGGAGACCAGTGCAGGTCTCTGTGCAGAAACCCGAAGCTCTGAGGAATTACCAAACCAACAACGGGAAAGTTAAGAAGCCTCAGGATCTATGCAGTCTGATACCTTAGGGTATGTCAGAATGTATTCCTTCTAGAAAGGAGTTGAGTTAATTGTTCAGTCCGTGGGAGTGAAGCGGAGTAAACCATAGTCCCGTTTCTCCAGCAGGTGCTCTGGCCAGAGGATGGGTTCCATGGAAAACTCCCTTCTCGGTTTTGGGTCAGCAAGTGTTTCGTTACTGTCTTTTCATGCTGCTGGCACGGCCTGAAGCAAGGTGCTCTGCTGTTCTCTTAGGTCATCCAGCTTCTGCTTACTAAAGTCACTGTTTTGATCTTAGAATCTGGAAATCTTGTGGGCGGTAGTGTATTAAGCAAGAAAAGAGGGCGGTTTGACTTCATTTCTCATACTTGGTGGAACCTGTTAGTAGAAAAGTCATGTTTTGGCCTGTAAGCAGAGCAGATCTGAAAGGTGAGTAGTTTAAATGTTCCATCTGAGGCCGTCAGTTTCTTCAGGCTACTTTTTTGAAAGAAAAAAAAAAAATCACAAGAGGTTGACAGCCTGTCAGGCAGAATACAGCAGTGTCATGGGTGTTGCCGTTCACACTTGGCCATTGTGAGAGAGGGAACCCAGCGTGGCCCGAGTGCGAGGGGAAACGTTGGCTTTGAGCTTTCTACAGAAACCAGGAAAGTCAAGCTGTCGTTAACATCATTTAAAATGCAGCCTTTAACAAGAAAATTCATGAGGGATACAATCAAGCACAGTAAATCTCTTGAACTATAGTCTTTTAAGTATAATATACATCAGGAAGTTTTGTGCAGTTTAAAATTTATTTTTAAATATATAATTAGGAGACGAGAGCATTTCTTTCCGAGTATTTTGATTATTGGCTGAGTACATATGTGTGTGTGTATGTACCGATGCATTGACTGAGTGTGTGTGTGTGTGTGTGTGTGTGTAAGTAAATCTGTTTTTCAGAGGAAACATTTATTATTCATCCTCTAGGATGGCTCCTGGGCTATTTTATACGAAAACTTTTTTAAAAATGGCGCACTTTGCAATTGCCACTTTTAAAAAAATTAATGCCTTGCACATTTCACTTTTTTAAAATGCATAGACTCATAGGCCTTAAAGACTTAATTGCTTGCCAGTATTTTAGAACTACAGCACTATATGTGATATATGTTAAAGTCATATTAAACTGTTCTCTTAATTTCACGTATTAAGCAAATAAGGATGTCCTTTCTTAAAATTTCTACATTTACTTTTGCTTTTGTGTAAAACCCTTATTACATTGGGTTCTAAGTTTCTCAGAGGGGAGGTTTATACTATATTTCTGAAATACCGATTTGACCATGGATTGATAGAATAGTGGAGGAATTCTGACATTGTAGCTTAATTTCTCCTCTTAAATTGTACACAATAAGTATTAGAAACCTCATAGTATCTTGGGCTGAATGTTCTCAAGTTTGCCTTGTTTTCCGTCTCATAAAGGCCCATTCTGGCTCTTGTCCCTTCTAAGGATTATGGGCCATGCTAGGACAGGCCTGGGGTCTTCTGGAGTGTGGGGGTGTCCTGTGGCAGGGCCAGAGTTCTAGCCAATGCAGTCATTCAAGTATGCCTAGAGTTCAAGGCTGGGAATGCCATATATTGGTATTAAATCACTTGGCACTTTTTTGGACAGCATTATTAGCACTGTTTTGTTTTTAATAACTGGAAGCACTTAATGATTATTTTGTTAGTCTAATTTCAACTTACGGATACTGAGGGCCAGGGAAGTAAAGTTTATTTCTCATTTATGTTTTCTGGAACTTAAGACTGTTTGGAGAAGGGGTGAATGGATTACCTAATGAGCCATCCTTCTGCGCTCTGTAAGGTATGCTGTTTTGGCTAGGATGTTTTAAATAATTTACAAGCTTTTAATATTCTGCTTTGTTGAAATGTATGATGTTTAATGATTTGCAATTGTTAGGTTATACTCAACTGTAAACTATCCCATTTTAATTTTTTTTTTCTGTTTAATTGTTTACTGTCTGTTACGTAGGGGACAGAGTTTCTTTGAAGACATCCCATATTTTTTGTGCTGGAGGGCAGTAGTTCCTGTGGCCTTTGCATGTACATTATAGTCACTGCTTATGGGATACAGTAGCGTATTTGATGGCCTTCCCTGCTCAGTATCAGTGAATTAAGATGCATACGTGTAAAGCTAGGAATTCGTACAATTCGTTTTTGATGGCTGGAGGCCCGTTGATTCACGTTAGCCGTTCCATCCTGTCTAATTAGGGTCATATGTGTTTTCACTTTTTTTTTTTAAATATATCTTTATTGATTTCAGAGAGAGAAAAGGAGAGGGAGAGAGAGAAACATCAATGATGAGAGACTCACTGACCGACTGCCTCCTGCACGCCCCGACTGGGGATCGAGCCCGCAACCCGGGCATGTGCCTTGACCAGGAATTGAACCCCAATCACCTGGATCGTAGGCCAGTTCTCAACTGCTGAGCCACGCCTGGCCGGGCAGTGTGTTTTCACTTTTGCCTTCTAGCAGTTTCGTTCATCTTTGGGCAGGTAAAATTAGATGCGAAACTCAGTCCAGCCACTTTGCTACTGGTTAGCTTTGGTTTGAGGCAATCAAATTTTTGACTAAAATCAGTTTTTTAAAATTATGCCCTTCAGTCACGAAATAATCGAGCTGATTAAAAATAAAAAGTGTTTTAACTTCGTATTTTGAAGAGCAAACAATTTTTTTATGAGCCCTACTGGATCTTAAGTGTGGACATCACTGGAAAATTAAATGATGTTGAATAATAAACTTTTCATTTTCATCCACCCAGTCTATAATTCAGAAGAAAAGTCTGCTCTGGCTTTAACACAAAAGACGTGCAGTTTTTTATGTCAGCATCTTCATTTCAGGAACTTGTCAGGGTGCTTTCCTGAAACCTAGATCAACTCAACTGAGATGACAGTCACTTACTTTTTATCCCTCCCTTGTTTATTTTACTAAAGCCTGTCTCATACATCCAGTATCTACGGCTCTTGTATAAATAGGATACTTGCTTCTGTATAAAATGCAAGTGCATACCTACCCACGGGAAAGAAGAACTGGTCAGGTGTCATTAGTCACTTGTCTTAATTTCAGTGTAATTTACATAAGGGAGACTTCCAAAGTATTAAATCACTTTTTTTCTTTGTTTTTTCTTAAACAAAAAAACACAATTAAAATGATGGCAACTGCTAACATTGACTGAAGTCACGTTAGTTTTGATGTAGCAGAGAGACTGCCATCGCTTCTAGCTGTGCAGCCTGGCTTAGCTAGCCTGTTGGGAAACACAGGGGCGTTTCAAGGTTGATTAGGGTGACTGTGGCTCAGTCTTGAGTTGTATTTATTTGCCACAAGGAGACCTGACACCAGGTTTAGGTAGGTGAGGGCTTTGTAATACTCTGCTTTTCAAAGAAAAAACGTGTAGTTGATCCTCAGTGCATCTCAGACATTGCTCTGAATAACTAATCAGGCGATCACTGTTTCTATCGCTTCAAGTTTTATGCAAAAATTTTGTTAAATTCTGTAATGATGATATACATCTTATTAGAAAGGACGCATTAAAGAACTATTTTATGTAAGAACTGACAGGAATTTGCTTTGTATAATGGCTAGCTGGCTTTAGGAAAGCACTGTAGCAAATTTGCTAAAGTCCAAAATTATATAGATATGTTAATAGATATATGTGCAACTCGATATGGACATTGTATTTTTTTAAATAAATATTTTTAACAGAACGACTGTCCGAATCAATTATTTATTTCCCCCCTCTCCCGTCCATGGAGGTGGTCCCCGTGTATATCACCCTCCACGCGAGTGCGGGTAAGGAAGGAGTTCCCTTTCCCAGTGGCCGTCATTATAGCTGGTCTTTATTCGATGTGTGTCTGCATGAAAGTATTTAAAACCTGAGTTGGGGTAGGTGGTGAAAAGGGGAGACTGTAAGATGATTATTGATATAAAGAGGAATTAAAAGAGAACTGACTGGCTAGAGAAAATATTCACCATGTGAAAAGTAAAATTTTACTTTTAAATTTTATTTACATTTTTTAAAGTTTTAAAAATTTTAATGCTCTTATTCAAGCCCTTGTAAGAAGCAACTTTTGCTTATTTCTGCTCTACGCCCTGTTTCTTCATGAGTTTTTTAGATTAAAAACTGGAGCCCTCAGCTCGTTTAGCAAATGAAAATTAGGCCTCTTCAGAACTGGGTTCGGGGGGAAAGTGGGGTTAATAGGTGGCAAGATCCCATCAGAGAGTCCTGTGCCATATCTCCAGGTAAAAATAAGAGGGTGGAGTAACATCGGTCTGTGGGGAACAACAGTTTACTAACCCTGGTGAAATGTCACTTCAGGTGGTAGGTCACTACCCAGTGTTGAGCGCGGTTGGGCGACAACCACTTGCGAGGACTGCTGGATTCCCCTAAACCACTCTTCTCAAAATACATGACCTAATGCAGTGCTTGAGGTCGAATAAGTTTGGGAAGGGGGTTGTCACCCCTTGGAGATTCAAAATGCGTAACAGGATATTCAAAGCTCTAAGAAGTCTTTCAGTAAAAACAAACTTGTTTATGTACCATTTTCTAACCTGACTCATGACACATCCTCTTTTGAGAGGCATAATGTCTGTTTTGCAGTCACTTTCTGAGTTTTCTAGATGCATCTAGTGACAGACTAACACCCTAATGCGGGGTAATTTTCCAGGGTTGGCATTGTCAGGATGGAGATAATCATTAACAGTTACAAGATTTCACATTGCTCGTCACTACAAAGCGCTGCACTCACTGGACTGTGCCCTTTAACTGAAGGAATAACCTTGAAATAAGAGGACAGTGTATAGTGAAAGGGAAACAGGAAAGAGAACTTCTAATAGGCGGGAAGCACTGGTGTCAGGAGGCTGCTGGAACAGCAGAGTTGATTTTATGATTCCCACGTGTTTTGGACACATTGTCGTTGACAGAAACCCCTCTTTGGTCAAGGTCACCGTCCATGTTGCCAGAGCCAGTGGCTGATGTCCAGTGCTCAGTGGACCTGGTGGCAGCACTGCTGACTTCCTCCTTAGATGCTCTTCCTATGCCTTCCAGGAAACCACCTTCTCTCCTGAACTTCCCTGTGCTTCTCTGGCTTTTCTCATTTGCTCTGCCGCATCCTGTTCTGTTTTCAAACCTCTAGGTGTTGAAGAACCCCAGGGCTCAATCTTCCAGTCTCTCTACATTCACTCTCTAGGTGGCCCTAAACACTATATGTATGTGACATGAAATTTATATCTTGGACTTGACTTTTAAGCTTCAGACTTTCATATCTACCAGCCTTTGACATCCAAGATAGCATCGTGACATGCACATTCTGAAACAACTCTTGAGAGCTCGCCTCTTGTCTTTCAGTTAAATGGCTTCATCAGATACCCAGTTAGTTACTCAAGTCAAATGCATTAGGGTCAGCCTTGATCCCCACCTTTCTCTCTCACGTGAACTCCACAATTCACTCACCAGCAAATTCTGTCAGTTTGACTTTCAATATAGGTTTAGTGAGCACACCCACGCCTTTCTTCCCTCTCAGGCGTGCATCTCCTAAACTCTAAGGGACCCCATGAGACTTGCAACCAGGGCCTGTCTCCAAGGCCCCTTTTCTCTGACTTTTCCAGTGAGCCAAAGCAGCCACGCCTAAGCTCTCTCCTATTGCTTCTTCTATAAGCCCTTCCTTGTTTCACTGTCCCCAGCTTTAATGTACTCTCAGAATACATGTATATAGCTTTAATCCATCACTGTCCAAGCCACCATCTCTTAAGTAGTTTATTGCAATTGTAACCTTGCCTGTGTCCACAATTTCATTCTTTCCCCTTGCCTGTTCACAGGTCTAATAATCTCACATAACTAAAAAAAATAAATCTATATTCCTAACATGGGTTATATGATCTGGCCCCTAGCTTCCACTCCAACCTATTTCCTGCCACTCTTCCCCTTCCTCATGCACGTAAACACACGGGCCTGCCTGCCAGTCCTCAAATACTACAAGCGTATTCAGTCTCAGGCCCTTGCACTTGCTGTGTCCCTTGCCTGATACAATCTTTCCTGGGTACTTGGATGGCTTGCTCCTGTATATCATTTGTTTCTGCATAAATGAAACCTCCTTAGGAAAGCCTTCTGGAGCATCTCTTGACATTCCCTCTCCCCCCCTTCCCTGCTTTATTTTTCTTTGTGGCACTCAATTCTCCCTCATCCTGTGGCAGGTTATCTCTGTTTACTGTCCATATGTCTTCAACTGGAGTGTAATCTCCGTGAGGCAGGGACTTGCGTCTCATTTTCTGCTTTATCTCAGCACATAGATCGGTGCCTTGAGCATAGCAGGTGCTCCACAAATCGTTTTAAATGAATAAGTGAATTCTCTCAAACATCCGTTCCACTATGCCTCCCTTCAGTGAATCTGGTGTACTGATGCTGGGCTAGATTCCTGCAACTAAAGAGCAGAGGGAAACCTGGAACCAGGGTAACTCCACAGCAGTCTGGAATGTCAGAATCTTAAAAAGACCATAAGAAAAGCCCCACTTGCTCTGTGACTGAGATGCAGTGTGATATAGAAACCCACTCACCTCTCCTTGTTTTGATCATGTGTAAGAGGGAATCGTGGCTCTTAGTCCTGTCCATGCGAGTCTTGTTTCTTCTAGAACATTAGCCATGTGAACCCATAATATGATAGAGACCTGTCTCCAGGGAACATTTGGTCATTTGTTTCTGGGGTTATATAAAAGGATCAATTGCCCTTGATAATAGATAACACACTTATTCAATTTAAAATATTTTATTTTAGAAAACGCGGTCTTAAATTTGTTTCAATCTTGTTTTCTATAGTCACAAATTAATCTTGATCACCTTAGATATAGCCATTGATTCTTCTTTCTAAATCTGTATAAAAAGGATGTTTTCTTGAAAAACCACAAGAAAAAATACAGCTGTTTTCTTTTTGCCCAGGTCAGTTACTCGCTACAGTTAGGTGACACATTTAAGTTCGGCTGGCATTGAATACTTTTAAATATTTACAGGCATAGTTAAAACTATATCCCTCGACCACCAGCTTTCCAAAGAATTGGGATCTGTTTGACTTAAAATAAATACGTAACAAACATATGAACAATTTCTAAGCCACTTACGAGATTTTAAAAGTAAAAATTGCTAATATTTATTAAGCAATTTCTATGTCAGGCATATAATAATTGCTTTACACAAATTCACTAATTTTTTTCAGAATTCCTTTGAGGTAGGGTAAGATTCTTTTAGAAATGTCACTTTACAGATTAAGAAAAGTGAAGCTGGAACAACCTCAGTGATCTGTCTGCCCAGGGCCACAGAGAGAGAAGCTGAGGCCAGTGCCTGAACCGGGTCTTGGGGACCAGATTCAGATCACGCCATGCTGCTGGCTACGTGACAATGCCTACAGTCCCAGGATGAACCTCCTAATGTCGGGCATGTGAATCACATTACTTGGACAAGTTACTAAGAATCATGATGCACTTTTTAATGCATGTACATTTGTATACACACAGAAAGTGCAGGCGAACTAATATACAGTCACTGGAACAGCCATTTCACGACGTGCACAAGTCTCAGTACTCCTATCCCTTCCCAAGTCGCCTAGTTTGCCTTCTCTCTCTGTGGTACCACAGGGCTCGCTCTGGACAGGCACAGTTACTCCCTGACCAGCTCTGTTTTCAGTATACTGCACAGCCTGAATTGTTCAGAAGGCCCATTTTTGTTAAAGAACTTGACATGGTACACAGGCATACCTCGTTTCATTGTGATTTGCTTTATTGCGTTTCATAGATTTTTTTTTTTAATTTTTTTTTACAAATTGAAAGCAAGAGCCTCCACCAGCAAAAAGATTACAACTCGCTTTATTGTGATACTTGCTTTAATGCGATGGTCTGGAACTGAACCTGCAATATTCCTGAGGTATGCCTGTAAAGGGTTGTTTTCTCTATAGAAGATGTAAAGTTTCAATTAGATATTTTTGAGAAGTTCTTAGTGCTGTTTCTACACCTTTTAATAGCTAGTCAGTGTCGGCAAAGAAAACCAGAACATCCATCTCATTCTCCCAGGCAACTTCTGGGCCAATTAGCATTGATTACTAGCAGTGGTGTGCTGGCAGAGGTTTAACACCCGGCTCTCCAGGGCGGAAAAGCCATGATTTGTAGCTTTTGCCAATTTCTGTGGTGTAAATACACAGAAAGAGATTGCACGGAACCACTCCTTTATATAGTATTTCTACCATACAGATACAATAGTCATAAATCTCTTCAAGAGCATAGATATAGAAGAATTAGGAAGGGATTAGTTTTGAGCAGCTGTTACCTTTGTTTTTAACGTAATTTAACAATCAGCTTTTATAAGCTGGTAGGAGCTAGCCCAGCATACCACTGAATTAGCATCCCAAAGATAGCAAGATTCAACTTTTCCTTTCGTTGTTTTAGATTATGGATGATCTACTGATATCAGCAGCAGGAATTTGAGGGACTTTGGACTATTAAGAAGTAAAAAGCACATAAATCCTGTGAGCATGCCATGGAACAATTTGGGGGTTGTTCTGATTAACTTAAAATATATCTACATATAACAATGATCATCGAACTTTATAATTTCAACCTATGTTTTTAAATTCAATTAAGAGTGATCTTCAAACCCGGGGTGCGGTCCATGCAGGAGGCGGCCAGTGCAGTGAAGGGATGACTGTCATCGTCCTTCCCAGGTGGGCATCCTGGACAGCTCTTAGCAAGAGTCTGACCCAGGGAAGAGGAAAGTAATTTGAACAGTCAGGTAAAATTCTAATGATTTGCCCAGGGAGGGCCCAGGTACCGGAACTCAATTTAGTTTCTTCTATGCAAGTATTTAGTGGAGAAGATCTGACCGAAGGTGTTGGGAGATTGCCAGCTTCCTTCCACGCTTTGATCTCTGCTGGTGCTCAAGAGGCCGGATTTCTTCGCCGGCCTCCTGCACCTGCTTTTACCTCTGGTAGCACTCGGAGCTTTCCATTCCCAGTGGTCTGTCCTGGGCAGGAACTACAACAGAAAAAAACAGGCGGCACCTTGCGATCACTCATCCTGAGAGCGTAACCAGGCCTCCTGTTTCTCTGCCACTTGATGGCTCCTTCGAGAGCCAAGTGAAAAGTTAGACCTATTAGTTCTGGCAAACTGGGGGTGGAGGCAGTTTGTTGAGACTAGTGTCTGGGGCTTAGGGAATACGTATTTCTTTTTGTCTCCCTTGATTAGGGAATTCATTAAGTGTTACTCATTTGACATTCAGCAAATACTTTTTTTTTTTTAAATCCTCGCCTGAGGGTATTTTTTCATTGCTTTTCAGAGAGAGTGGGAGGGAGAGAGAGACATTGATGTGAGAGAGACACATGGATTGGTTGCCTCCAGTCCAGGGATTGAGCCTGCAACTGAGGTGCATGCCCTTGATCAGAACTGAACCCGAGACCCCTCAGTCCGGAGGCTGACTCTCTAACCACAGAGCCAAACCAGCTAGGGCACAAGTACTTCTTGAACGTGTGGCCTAAATGAAGGCTCTCTGCTGACCGCTGGACTAGACCTGTCACCTCAGAAGCAAGACTGTAGTCAGAGCTGACTGGGGGCCCCATGGTTCTTCTGGGCTTCTAAACTGATTGTGTAAAGTGTGCATATGTCCCCCTGCTGAGAGAGGACTCTGGCTGCCTGTTTCTTCAGTGTTTGTGGAGAGGACGCGGGCTCTGCCTGGGCACCTTGTCTCAGGAACTGGCTATGGGCACAGCTGAAACAGTTTTGGGGACTCTCAGAGCTCGGGGCGGAAAGGCAGGGGAGGGAGGGCTCAGGGCTATGAAAATAGCTTTGGGACTCCCCCTGCCTGGCTTCTCCAGGAGTGAGACTATTCTTAGGTAGTATCTCTGTCCTGAAGGAGCTTTTCGTTGCCACTTGGCCTGAAGGACTTCGTTTTGAAAAGGAGATTTGGACTAGAATCAAAATCCTAAACTGCAAAGAGAGGGCCAATTGGGCTGCTGGGCTGAGTTCCAGCCAAGGAGGCCGGCTCTGCCTTCGGTGCCCTGCACAGGCCGGGGAGAGTCTTGGGCCATGGTCCTGAGGCCCAGTGGGTGCAGGAAGCCAAGTTCATATCCATGCCCCTCTCCTAACAGACAAACCATGAGTCAGCCTACCCCGGTGGCTCCTGCCCGAAGAGCGTGGTGTAGACAATTGCATGGCAAAGCAGGAAGAGGGGAGAGGAAGCTGGGGAAAAATAAACATTTCCTTGCATTTTACTTGGAACAGAGCAACACTGGTGGCGTGCTGAGGGCCACAGCATCTCCCACATTCTCCCCTGCTCTGTTTTCCTCCTCTTGTGTAGAAACAGATTTTTTCCTTACCTGATGAGAGTCCAGTGTGCATCCTGTGGAAAAACAGGAGCAAGATGTAGAAGGTAAAAGCCAAGCAAGCAAAGATCACGCCACAGACCAGGAAACTGTGGCTGCCCTGAGCCTGGAATATCTGCCAAAGGGGAAAACACAGAGATACCGGCCATCAAAACCTCCCACGGAGATGTATTGGAGGAAGCGACTTCTTGGGCCCTTGGCAGGTTTTCTAGTCAAGCTGAGGACTATCACACCAATAGACAGAAACCTGGGTAGCAGGGATGTGTTGGCCTTGTTTCAAGGTTATGTTTCTCGAGGAGACAGAAATCCTGCTCTGTGGCAGGGGTGGGACCCGGTGACCCCCGCAGTCCCTTTCAGCTCTATGTCTGGAACCTTCCGAAAAACCTCCCTATCTCCCTTAAAACTCCAGTCACACTAGGAGTTTCTCTGCCCACAGTCCTGACCAGGACTTTGCAGAGGAGATTATATGTAGCCTTTTATTATGGAAGATTTAAAATATATGCCAAAGTAGCATAGGGAACTCCCATGGACCCATCACCAACTTCAGTGATTAGCACCAGTTCCCTCGGTGGCCTCCACGAGATCACGTTGAGGCCCACCCCAGCTCTCACGTCTCCACGAAAAGGGCACCGTGTGTAGCTCTTCCCAGCCCAGCAGGGCAAAGGCAGAGGGAAGGAGAGCAGTGAGGAGGGGGATTTGGAGGCTGAAAGACCTGGGTTTGGAGTCATCCTGACAGTTATTAGAAGTGCGATGACTGAGGGCAAACTGCTTAATTTACCTGCAAAGAGGGAATGACAATATCGACATTATAGTCTTCAGTGAAAAGTAGATGTATTTTTACCCCTGGTGAACACATGAACTGTGGCTACATGTGACAAGAACTGGGATCAGGGCCTGAGTTGGGCAGGAAAGCTGGGCCCTTTGCAGGGTGGCCAAAGGCTCGAGAGGTGGGGGGAGGGTGTGGCAGGTTGAGAAGGGATGGATGAAGAGCTCCGCAGCTCAATCCCATCCCAGGCCCAGGAGCTAAACAACATTCCCACGGGGCCCCCCTGGCCCTGCTCCCAGACATGACTTGTGTTTGCTTTGGACTATCATCGCATCCCTTCCCAGCTCCAGGTTCCCCATTTGGAGGCTCAGCTTTCAGGGCCGGCTCAGAAGCGGAAACAGGTAACACACAGAGTGGGCTCTGCTCGCTTGGGTTCAGAAGGTGGCTGGCCCCACCTTCCCACCTGCTTGAAGGAGCGCTCCCCAAATGCTCCCCCCTCCCCTCAGAGTTTTCCACATACCCATCCAACCACCATCTGGAGGGACATCTCGCCAAGTCCTGCCCCTGTCACCAGCACTGTGGTCGCACAGCCTACCCAAAAGAGAAGGGTTTGGTTTAGTAAGAACAAGTCAGGAGACAGAAGTCAGCTGGCACGATCTGGGTTATTTCTGGGAAGTCTCTGGAAAGGATCATGGCGGCCTAGGAGGGTGCCTTGGGATTCATAAGATTTCTTAGGCTTTGGCTCTTGACTTGGCTTTGGGAATGCTTAGGTCCCACGATCATTATGTAAATTCCTTTTTCTGGGACCTCCAATTGTTCACGATCGTCTTCCTGGTAAATTCCAAGTCGCTTAGCCTGGCACTCAGGGCCCTTCCTAGCCTGACCGCCACCAACTTTTCCAGAAAGGTTTTCTGATCTCCCTACGCCCACCCCCCACTCTGGTCAGAGCGGTGTCCCGGGTCCCCTGTCTGCACTGACCAGCCACACGCTCATCAGTTTGGCAGCCTGGCACTGACTTTCGGAGCCTAAACTTCAGTCAGCCTGGGTTCCAAGCCCCGCTGTGTCACCTGCTAGCTCTGTCACCTTAGGCAACTTCTCCCCTTTTCCTAGGCCTTGGTTTCCTTTTGCAAAATGGGCATCATAACATGTCTTGTGCAGGGTTGCTGTGTGGGTCACCTGATGCGATGCATGTTAAGTGCTCAGCAAAGTCCTGGTGCATAGTAAACCCTCGAAACCAGGCCAGTTCTCGCCTTAATCCTTCAATGCTGCCTCAGGATCAAGTCCAAGGGCCTTGATGTGGTTCCCAGGGCCCTTTCTACCCTGTCCCTGCTGAGAGCCCAGACTCATCTCTCACCCCCTGCTCGCAGGCTGCCCCCCAGCCAGGAGAAACCTCAGTTCCCCGCCTGCACGCTCACTCTCGCCACCAGGTCCCCACACAGGCATTCGCTCCTCCTCGCCTTTGTCCTACAAACCCCTACTCAGCTTTCCAGTCCCAGCTTAGATTTCCTTCTGCAACCCTCTCCGCTCGCCCCGTCCCTAAACCTGGGCCAGCTGCTGCCCCTCTGCTGCCCCATGCCCTCGCCTTCCTCCCCCGTACCCACTGTCTGCTTGCTGGGCAGCCTCCCCACCAGGCTTTAACCTTGGATTTTAGTTCAGTGGCGCGTATCACTGCCTATCGTCAACACAGTGGCCGGCGGGGGTAGATACTGAGTGTTTTTCGAATAACGCAGATCATTTTCTATTCTTTTCGTCTTACTTAGGCTTATGTTTATCTCTTTGCGTCTTTGCTCTCTTGCTGGCCACGGCCCCTGCCCCACCCTTCCCAGGAATGCCATTCCTTGTTCCTTCTGCCTTTCCAAATCCTGGGCCAGCTCATATCCCATCTCTCCCATGAAGCTTCCTCAAGAGTTAACACTGGTCACTCCCTTCTCTGAATTCCAGTGGCACCCAGCGTCTATTCCACTCATCCACTCAAAAACCTCCCGGTACCTTCTGTGCCTCAATACTGTGCTAAACACTAGTGCACTCAGATGAATCCTTTGAGTTAACATACATATTGAGCACCTGTGAGTCAGTTAAGCTGCTAAGTCAAGAGCTGTACATTTTCTCTAACGTGCAGAATAATCCTCAAAGGTAAGCATTTGCATCCCCATTTTTCAGATGAGAAAACTGAGGCTCAGAGAGGGGAAAGAAATTGAATCACACAAGGCCATAAGGCCAGAGAGTGTGAAGGCAGGACTGATATTCAGGTCTGCTGATGACCTCCAAGCCCTCGCTCTTGCCCTTGTGCCTTGCTGGTGTCCACAGGGAGTGTATTGTCAAGGAGAAGATGCAGATAACTAGGTACAAAAGCCTTGAGGGGATCAAGCATGAGAAGCAGGTATGGAGGAGGGGGTTCCTTTCCAGTGGGGACCAGAGAAGCCTCCAGGAGGGCCAGAGGAGGAGGGGCGGAGCAGAGGGCATTCTGTGCGGAGGGCTTGTCACGTGCCAAAGTGTGGAGGGACAGGGCAGATTGTGTGCCACCAGGGAGTAGCGGGCTAGATGCCGGCTCCGAGGGGAAGCAGGGTGGGCGAAGGCCGGAGAAGGGAACGGAGCTCCACAGGAAGACATGAAGGCCAGGTCCGCTCTGTGTTAAGGCAGGGCCTCTGCAGCAGCTCAAGGATGGCTGCGTAAGTGGTCCTCACCCTGGCTCCACGTTAGGATCACCCGCAGCTTCGGACCAATTACATCAGACTTTGTGGCGGTGAAGTCCAGGCGTTGGGTTTTGTTACAAGTGTTCCAGGTGATTCTAATGGGGAACCAGCCCTGAGAACCTCTGATGGAGGCGAATGTGAAGGCCAGGAGACAGGCCGAGGCCTGCCCAGGCAGCATGGAGGTGATCAGACATTGGGAAAAGCTGGGTACTGTTAAATATTCCAAGCTGGTAAGTGATGATAAAGGCCTGAACGAAAGCAGGGATGGAGAGAAATGATATGAGCATGGATTGGGGTGATCATTTACAGGCAGAATCAACCACGATAACTTACTATTATTATTGTTAACTTGTTGACCAGCTACTTCAAGCCAGAGCTCGCCCGTGCGACTGGCTATTTTTTCTGTCGTGACGGGTCAGCAAAGTGATTAAAATTACTTAAATTAATATAAGTGCAGACACGAGTTAACCTGTGACCCATCAGCAACATTTGGACATGGAAACATGAGTATACTCCTGACCGGTCAGCAAGGTGTTAACTCTAACATTTGTTGATCACTTAAAACTCTGTGGGATATAGTGTGTGACATATGATATCAACATTATTTCTTGACTTCATTTATTCGCTTGAGGTTTGGGGATTATCCTTAGATTTCAAGGGCCCTGGTCTCCTGTCTCTCATTATGGAGAACTGAGGTGGGTGTCACTCTAATTGCTCTGACCACCCACCTCCCCAATACACCGATTTCCCCCTCTTCTCCTCTAAAGAAATCACTCATCTTTAACGCTGGTTTTCCAACACTCTAGGGCATCTCTAGTTACTTCTAAGGGTAATATTAACTATTCAAAACATAAATTATTTTTAAAATTTTATTTTTATAAGTGTTTATTTGAGCCAAACTGATGATATATGCCGTGGAGCAAGATCTCAAATATTCCCCAAAACATAAATATTTTTAATGAAGCCACTTTGCAAAAGATTTTTGCTATATGCCTTTGGGAGGCTACAGAAAGGGAAGGACATTAGTCAAGAGAATTAGAGTTTTCTGACACCAAAGGAGCCGTGTCACAACCAGGAAGCAGCAGCCGAGTCCCTGTTCTAAGGCTCTGTTTCCAACAGCATCCGGGAGAACAACAAAGCAAGGAGGTACTATTACTGATAAGGGATCAAGTCCCTTTCCTGGGCTGTAGTTTCTCCCGTGCAGCTTTGCAGCTTGGAATTTCCATGCACGTTACACAAAATGCCAGCTGCGGGTTGGCACAGATTGCTACGGGAAAAGAGAGAATGGGCGAGAGAAACTGACTGCTCCTCTGCGGCCTGAAATCACACATACTGAGAGGGTAATGTGGAGGGGGGAAGCCACATAGATGGGAACAACCCTACTTATGCACCTGTTCCCACCGGTCAGGATATAGTTTCTGTGGCGGGGAGGGCAGTGATCTTCCAGCTGGAATGTCCCAGAAAGATGGGGAGTAGGGGAGGGAGTGGCACCCGGCCAGAGGGACCGACCGCCCTGCTTTCGGCCCCTGCACACTCACCTCTGTACTGCAGAATGTCCTCGGTGTAGGCCAGCATGCTGGGGAAGGTGCTGCTAAGGAACAGGCCCAGGCTGGCTGTCCCCGCGAACAGGAAGATGACGTTGTAGGAGAAAGCAAGCAGCACCAGGTGGGTCATCACCACGCCGACCTGCCACAGCAGAGATGGAGGTGATGAGAAACTGGGAAAAGCAGGATGGCCTTCGAGAAAGGAAAAACCTGGAGGAGTCAGTCTCCTGACCTGGACAGTTAGGCCTTAGGAACAGTGCTGTGGCCAGTGTGCCACCCTGTGGAATATGTGGGGACTGCACCTTCTGTAGGGGCTGCCAACCAAGCCCAGAGATATGAGAGGGAGGGGGTGAGCCCACCCAGACATTTCCAACAAAGGGCCTACCACACACGCTCAAGAAGTGCTTGGCGAGGGAACACTGACTGTCCCTGAGGCCTTATCCGTAAGCATGGGAACTCCATCCAAGTCATCAGCTCTGCCTTGCCGGCTGAGAAGCAAGAGTAGTCCCCTTAGGTCTGGGGCCTGGAGGTAGCAGCCTCTGATTCCAGCTTCCTACCCTGCAAAGGGCTTCGCAAGCCTCCCTGAAGATCAGTGGGGAGTCAATGGCAGTGAAGGGCTCTTCAAGGGTAAACCTTTAGACAAGCACCAGCCCCAGTGTTTGTGTGTGAGCTTTTCTTAATGTCTCAGAGACACGGATCTTCTGTAAAACCCATAGCATTGAGGCAAAAATCTCCTGAGTACATCTGTTTCTAGAAAAAATAAGATGAAGGTAGGGGAGAAATCACAGCTAATCCAGCCCCGGCTGCATCCAGATGAGTGTGAGCAGGGAAAGGACTTCACACTCCCAGGCGGACCCTCAGGGATTTGCTCCAGTTGGAAAAATGAAGCCTGTGAGCTCGCCCCTTGCTCTCCGTCACTACCCAGGGTCCGCAGCAGGACCTCGGAGATGCCGGCCTCAGGACCTTGGAGATGCCAGGACCTCGGAGATGCCAGGACCTCGGAGATGCCGGCTTCAGGACCTCGGAGATGCCGGCCTCAGGACCTCGCCGGCCTCAGGACCTCGGAGATGCTGGCCTCAGGACCTTGGAGATGCCAGGACCTCGGAGATGCCAGGACCTCGGAGATGCTGGCCTCAGGACCTTGGAGATGCCAGGACCTCGGAGATGCCAGGACCTCGGAGATGCCGGCCTCAGGACCTTGGAGATGCCAGCTTCAGGACCTCGGAGATGCCGGCCTCAGGACCTCGGAGATGCCGGCCTCCTGGTGGAAGCTGGGGGTCCGTACTGAGAGAGTCTCGCTGCCCAGAGCGGGATGCGCCACTTGCACAGCCTCTTCACAGCGCCGGAGACTTCTTTCATGTGGTAAAAACACGAAGGCAGGGGCCTATCTGCGGTTCCAAAGAGAACGCGTTCCTTTGGCATAGAAAAGGGCCCCGCGGACCCATCTGTGCTTCCTCCTTTGGCTGGATTTCTAGACGTGGGCGCGGCCGGGCTCTGCAGCGACGCTTCTTTGTCTGCATTTCCCATTAGTCCCGCTCCACAGACTCCAATATCTCTATGCCTGGACTCAAACCCACCCCTCCAGCCGCAACCTGTGTCCAGAACTCCAGACGTGCGTATTAAACTGTCCCTTTGACATGTCACTGGTGACTAGCAAAAGTTCCAAGTGGAACTTTTCCTTTCCTCCCCTAAACCTAGTCTTCATCACATCAGTTAACAGCATCCTGCCCCCAGGGCTCAAACCTTGACCCTGCCTTTCCTCACCGACATTCAGGCCAACAGCAAGTCCTGTGAACTCTACCTCAGAAAACCGTTTAGAACCTTTGTACTCCCCAAGTCCCCCTGACCACCCTGGTCCAGCCGCCGCCTGTCATGCCTGGACTGAAGTGGCTTCTCACTGTCTCCCGCATGACTGGCCTCTTTGATTCAGGAAGTCTGGGTTGGACCCCAGAATCTGGTTTTCCTTTTTAAAAACCTTCACTTCAGGTGAGTTTTTATCGTGGAGCCTAGGATGCTTCAGACTCTCTTCCTTCTCTCAAACCCAGAGGCCTGCCCCACCCTCCTCTCTCTAAGCAACTGGCCTCGTGTCCTACAGAGCCTGGCCACCAGCAAGGCCTGTCCCCTCACGGTCCTCCACCTCTTCTCCTCTGGGCCCCATGTTACCCCAGCTCCATGGAACAGGGGCTCCCTCCTCCTGAACTGCCTGCTTCCTTCCCTGCTGCCCTTCATCCCCACTCCCCTCTCCCAGAGCCTTCTGAACTCAGTTCCACTCTACAATGGTATCTTCACAGACCCCCACCCCTCAGGCTCTGCCTACAAATAGGCTCACACCAACCTGAGCCCTGTTGAACAAAACTCCCTTCAGCTCAGGAGTATTGGCAATACTCACGCCTCCACCTCCCATCTCCCTCTCAGCCTCAGCCTCTGAGTTTGGCTTCTACCTACCCAACCTCCCATCTACCTTGAACAGAAATTTCTTTCTTGAAGGTCATAAACCAGTACAAGGCAAATCCAAAGCCTTTCTTGGGGCTCATCATCTTTGGTCTGTGTAGCCCTGTCTTTATTTCCCAACCCTCTCTCTGCTAGAAACTCAACCCAAGGAAGGACTTTCTGACAATTGATTGAGCTACGTGGAAAGGTAGTGAGCTCTCAGTCCCTGGAGGTGTTTAAAGAGACTGTGGATCTCTCCTCTATAAAGGGATGTCAGAGGTGATTCAAGCCCTTCTGGGAGGTTGGGTTGATGACCTTTCAGGAATCTGTAATCTGGATCCTGTTGTCATAGATGGTGAGAGAGATACATATCAGGGTGAAAGTTAAGACCCATCACTCAGGCCCAGATCTCCTGCCTTTTGGGCAGACCAGTTCCTGGAAGGCAGCCTATTTGCCAGTCTGGCTACTTGAGAATCACTTGGGAGAGTTTCAAAATGCAAATCCCCAGGCTCCAGCCCAGAGAGGGTGGTTCTGAAGGCCAGGGGTTCCCTGGCCTCCACCAGCCACAAGGCTCTGACCAGCTGGGCACCAAGGTGAACATGGGAGGGCCAAGGCCAGAACCTGCCTCCCTTATCCTTGGCAGGCTGTCAGCTGGGATCTGCCCCCCACAGAGCAGGAATTGCCTCCTACAACCCCTTCCTTTTATGAGCACAAAATCAGGGGTCCAGAGGGGAGAAGGGACTTTTCCAGGGACTTTTCCAAGGTCACAAGGGTAGGCTCCACCTCCTGGATTTCCACTCCTTCTTCAGCAGCATCACCCTTTCCCTCCCCTCCCTCCCTCTGTGCCCACAGTCCCACCCTGTTGGCATAGTTCAGTCCTGAGCAAAAGTCCTGGGACAGTGGTAGGGTCAGGAGTGAATGGTTCTCCTGAGTCTCCAAGAAGTGAAAGGAAGCCACTTACCATGTTGATGAAAACCATGGTGACTGGCTTCACTCTGGAGGAGACGGGAATGGAGATGAGCTGGCCCAGGGTGATGAAGCCCCAGAAGAGGCTGGGGAGGTAACCAGCCACCTTGTGTCCTACAGACAGCGGCTTCTCCACTGCATAGCTGTACACAAAGGTGGAATACGCCCCCTGTGGAGAGACAGGCCCACTAAGCAAACCTGTAGGCATCCAGACCGTAATCCTGGGAAAGGCAGCCCTGCTGGGCAGGTGTAGGAGGACCGCTCCCCCTCCTAGAGGCTCAACAAACAGTGGGCTTGGGGCCAAGACCATACAGCAAACATAGGCCGGAGCTGAGGTCAGAGCCTGAGGTGCCACAGCTTCCGGACTGCACCTGCAGAGGCCTCAGGGAGGCTTGAAAGTACTGTGGCCCCTTCACCAGAGCAGGGTTCCGCTACATGTCTTATTTATCAGGTTTCCACAGGATGTTTTTTACTGAAGGACGTTTGCTACAGCTAAAAAAAAAAAAAAAAAA